TATGTTATGTGGTGTTGTGTCATGTTACGTTATGTTATGCAATGATATGGCTATCATATCTTACGTTGGTTTATGTTGTGCCACGTCATGTTCATGCCGTGTTTTCTGTGTCACGTCATGTTGTCTCGACATGTCACGTCTTGTGTCATGGTATATGGTTATAGTTTTCCATGCTATGTCTTGCTGTGTCATGAGTTCTGTGCTATGTTCTTTGCTATGCTCACTTGGACCACATCGACAGGTTTCGATGTCTCTTGTATATCGCGCAAAGTTGCAGCTTGCGACTGTTGGAACCCGGGAGTTAAGCCGTATTTTTAACGTCCTTCTTCACACCATAGGAAGGACAGTGCCACAATGGCCAACATCGTCCAAGGAATATGGAGAGGTTGTACTGACTAATGACTTCTCTTTTTGGTCCCACCGGCCAGTGCGCCCGTGCAGGTAATTTGGACTTCTTACCGGTGCGGCCAGGGCGATATTTACGGTTAATGTGTGTGTGTGTGTGTCTTCGTTGCGTGTGTGTGTGTGTGTGTGCGCACGTCTGCTTTTGTGTGTTAGTTGCTTCGTTGGGGTATGTTGGGGTGTGGGGTCACGTGCACGCAAAGCGGGCGTCTGCCGGCCTACGCCAGAACAACATTGCTGGCCGGAAGCCTTCTACTCTCCGTCGAACCATGACAGACTGTGAACCATTGCGAGTTTCAGTGAGGCCAGCAGCTCATCTTTCCCGCGCACGGGCAGCTCCCGAGATGAGGTCCTGCTGCGCTTGAGGGCTCTTCTGTATCGGGATGCACGGACAGGGCTTTCGAGTTTGAAAGACAGGAAAGTCCTGGACCGTCATCTGGATCTGCAGCTGCTGCGCTTTTCGCCGCGGCCGCTGCCTTGGGCAAGTCATGACACCTGCTTGCAGAAATCTGACGCCGGCATGTCTCTTGATCGCATGCGGCTGCATTTCTTGTCCCGCACTTCGAACCACGGTGGTCGAACACTCCTGAAGTTCCCAGCTGTTGACTGCTGCGTCCGGACTTGCAAGTTTTTCTTTGCTTTGTCGACGCTCTCAAAAATTGGAATCTTGCGAACTTGTCGGAGGTGAGGAGCTGATTTCACGGGCCATGTTAAGGACCAAAGCTTCAACTGCCTTTGAAAGGCGTCTGCGTCTCGCAAAAACGCGCGTTGTGACAGGGCCTTGAGAAACAACGGTCCAAGCGTGCCCCCTTGAGGGCAGGGAGCCTGTTGCTTCGGAATCCTGGTTCCCCACAACACAGGCCGATGCCGAAGCATGGGCCTTCGGAGCACGGAGAGCGCAGGAACAAAGTAGATCAGTTCGAGCGTCGGCACAGAAGACAATCTGATGTGTTCCAAAAGTCACGCCTGCTCCATCCGTAAATAAAGACCTGTCCTCATAAACTTTTACAGGTGCTGGTCGCAACTGGGCGCGAAGCCAAGGTGCAGGCACGGCACCACACCAGTCTGTTGAGAGTAGCAAAGCAGCAATGGAGCAGGCATTGTGTGCCATCGTAGGAGTCGGACGTGCAACCAGACGGCTCAAGGGTTGGAGCCTGAGCTCCCCAGATCTTTCAGCACAGAGCTTTGCAAGTCAAAGGTCAAGCCTGTCAAGCAGCTCCAGGAAGCCCTGCAGGCCACTTGCCCATGAGACAGCCAAATACCCTCAATCGCTTTAGACATGGCAGGAAACAATGCCTGTGCATTGAGGGAGTAGGCTTTGCAAGGGGGAGACAGAGGGACAGGTAAAAGGTGTTCCTTCTTTCCGGCGAGCCTAGACAGAGATTCAGAGGATGTCCCCTGCTCCTGGAGACTACCACTCTCGTTGCTGTTTTGTAAGACTGGGAATTAAGGACGTGGGCATCGCTCCTCCGCGAAAGCGTCATGCTGGATGCTCCCGTTTTTGCCAGAAAAACGGTCCGTTGAATCGGAGCCTGTGTTTCGATCGGGTTTACCGTACTTTGACCCTATTCCTTGCCCGCGACGGTGTCCACGAAATCGTGCGTTGTCATGTCGGGTTGACTTGCTGCGGCGGGTGCTTGGCGGCTGGCAGCAGCCACACTCAGCTGTATTCCTGCCTCTTCCTGCGGGTGTCGTCCTGAGATAAAAGGAACCTTCTCTTGCACTGTCCAGCAAGTACCAGGAAACTTGGAACAAACACAAGGCCGGTCCGAATTTTTACTCACTCCTTTCGACTCCATTTTTGAATGCCCTGGAATGAAGTTGTCTGGCCTGTACGAAATGCGAGGCGAAGCATTGTCAGAAGTCAGGGAGTCACCGTTCAAGAGGCAAGCCTAGAGACAGCGGGGCGTTGCCACGCAGAGCAAGAGCAAGAGCGAGAGCGAGGGGCCGAAGGATGAGGGAGGCAAAGTAACTCTGCGTGTCAGGATGTGCAGCGGCGAACAGAGCATGTCGAGACGAAGATTCGCATTGCGGCTGCTGAGCTTGGGGCCTCAGCTGTCAGTGTCACGAAGTCGATTCTGAAGTGATCAAGTTCGGGTAGAAAGTCTGGAGTCACGCAGGTGCAATGCACTTGAACAAAGAATCGAAGGCCCTGGGGCAACGATGCGAGGGACAAGTCGAAGAAACGGGTTTTCGCAGCTTTGGGCTTTTGAGACCGCATCCAGTGATCTCTTGTAGGCTTGGCCCTTGCCCATCGGCGGCGAGAGCTCGAGGTTGCTGATGTTTGGCAGGCAAGTATCAGATGCCTTCAAGCGTGTTCTAGACGATTTGCCCATGCCTCTTGCTGCCATGTTCTCCTGCACATCAAGGACGTGGAAGCTGGGATGGTCAGCGCGCAGGAGGTCAAGTCATGCTTGCTTTTTGCAGCGTCGCGCTTTTGGGCCGGAGATGAGGTGCTGAAGACGTCTGCAGACTTGCGAGAAAGCGGCCAGCAGGCCTGACATGGCCTGACCGAATTTGCATCCTACCCCCAAGCTGCCCAAGCTGCAGCAAGCTTCAGCTCTGTGCAGGAGGTCACCGAATTGGGTTGCTTGCAGAAGGACCACGTCGAGTGCAGTTAAGGAAGACTTTCGTGAACAGAATTTTTTTCAGACGGAATGTGTTTGCAATGCCATGTGACGGCTAGACAGCTAAAGCCGTCCAATTTGTCAAGTCAGCTGCAGAACTCGACCACCCTCAGGAAGCATGCCGGCAGGCTGTTGCCGTCCAGGTTCTCAGGCGGTGGCATGATGAGGTGCCGAGCTTCATGCAATCGTGCCGTGCAGGATCTTGCAAGCACTGTGCCCTGCACACGAAATGTGCCCTACATGAACGGGACTCATTGTAGGCGACAGTAGGCAAGACCTTTGCTTGTGGGGGTCCGAATCGGTCAGTGCCGTAGGACATCGTCGGAGAGCTGAGCTCCTGAGATTTTGTGTCCGGGTGGTTTTACCTGGTGGGGCCTTGCAGCAGGCCGAAGCTCACCATCCGAAGACACGACTTGCGGTCCTGACAGCACAGCTGGTTCAAGCCTTACTTGGAGGGGGCCACTGTCATAGCTGCATAGCTCAACATGCGATAGTTCGCTGTCTGTTGTGGTGTCACAGGCAAAAGTATAAACTCCCTTTTCCAGCGAATCACGAACACCGTTTGCGCTTCGGACCCACACTAGGACGCCCTCGGACTGAATCACCCCCGTGAAGCATCGCATGCAAGATGGGGAGGGCGACGATGTGCAGGTTTCCAGTTCAATAATCGACTTGAAGAACCCCGCGTCTCTGCTCTTGCACAGAGCGACAGCCAGAAGTTTGAAGCGTGGCCATGGCGGCGATGGAAAGACCAAAGCTGGGAGCAAATGCATGCAAGGTGCCGATGGAAAAGCACTGAACCACACGGGCATAGAGAGATGATGCCGCAAGAAAGAAAGACCTCACGAGCAGATATTGCTCTGGAGCGGCGCTACAGTTCATGCTCGGCCGAGGGCATTCCCTCGGGATAAGGATCAACATACAAATTAGATTTATTTGGATCATTTTGGATCATACAACACAAGTTGGACGAACATTAATTACACCAGCGAAGAAAAGGAAGGCAGGAAGAACAGAAGGAAGACAAGAAGGAGGGAAGGACGGAAGGAAGGAAGCAAGGAAGGAAGGAGGACGGAGCAAGAAAGAAAGGAAGGACTGAAGAAGGCAAAATATGATGAAGAAAGGAAGGAGGAAGGAAGGACACAGGGAGGTTGCTTTTTTGGCTTGTCGGCTTCGTGTCTTCTTGGCTTCCAGGCTGTTTCCTGGCTTCTTGGTTTTCCGGCCTCGTGACTGCTTTGTCGGTATGACATATATACTTATCATATACACATTCAATGAAATAGCGAAGGTCAGACAGAAAGGCAGGCAGTGACAGAGAAAGCAAGCAATTCAGAAAGGCACACAAGAACAAACCAACAACAACTAGTAGTAGTAGTAGT